ATAAATAAAACTTAATTAAAAAGTTTCTGCACAGCTAAGGAAATAACCAGCAAAGCAAATAAATAACCTAAAATATGGAGAAAATATTCCCCTGCTATACATCTGAGAAAGGCCAATGACCAGAATCTACAAAGAACTCAGGCAAACAACTCCAGGAAAAAAGTGGACAAAATACATAAACAGAAGCTCTTCAAAATAGTCAAACAACCAATAAACATATGAAAAAATGCTTACTGTCACTAATCGTCAGGGAAAGACAAATTAAAACCACAATGAGATATTGCCTTACCCCAGTTACAATGGCTTTTCTGAAAAAGTCCAATAAAAAAATAGATGCCGGAATGAAAGCAGAGAGAAAGGAATACTTATACAATGTTGGTGGGACTGCAAATTAGTACAGCCCTTATGGAAAACATACCCAGAGTCCTCGGAGAACTAAAAGGAGACTTACCATTCCATCCAGCAAACCTGCTAGTGGGTATTTACCCAAAGTTATCTTATCAAAAAGACACCAGCTCTCAAATGTTTATTGCAGCATAATACACAATTGAAAAGATGAGTTATTGACTCAACTGCCCACCAATTCACGAGTAGATTAACAAAATGTGGTATATGTATACCATGGAATGTTATTCAGCCATAAAGAAAAAAATATGAGTTAATGGTTTTTGAAACAATTTGCATGGAACTGGAGATCATTATCCTAAGTGAAGTATCTAAAGAATAGAAAAACGAATATCACATATGCTCATCATTAAATTGGAATTAACTGATGAGCATGTATTTTCCCAGAGGAAAGTAAAGCTCAGTGGAGATCAAGCAGGGGGAAGGGCATGGGTGAAGATCTAGCTAAAACAGTGGTTCTCAACCTTCCTAATGCTGCAGCCCTTTAATACAGTTCCTGTGGGTCGCGACCCACAGGTTGAGAACCGCTGATCTAAAAGGTAGAGTGAACACGTCTGGGTGATGGGCACAGTGGTAGCCCTGACTCAAGCATTACAAAAATAATCCATGAAACCGAAAGCATTTGTGTCCCTATAATACTTTGAAATAATAATGAAAAAGAAACCTATGTGGGAATATAGGCACCAGAGGGAACTTTTGAGTGCCTGTATGGTCACCATAATCTGATGGTTAACCTTGTACCATCAGAATTACGTTAGTGGGTGAAAATAAAAAGGAACATATCTTCTCTTAATGAGACAACTGGATAATAGAGTTGTTCAGGTATAGAACCATCTGCCTTAGGAGGAAGTGGATGAATTGATGGCAGGAAAGGCTGGAATTTAATTTTCAGGACTCTTTTAGAAAGAATTTCAAGGTGAATGATCACATTAAATGACCATCAGGACAGTTCCTACTTTAAGAGTCCATGAATGTGTCAACCAAGTGGAGGTCTTATGTGCATGAAGCTTTCAATGTCTGGTGATGAATATTAATGGAATAAAATAGCTGTGGAGAAGCAAAAGGAAAGAGAAGTAATTTTGCCACATTCAATTTTCATTCCAATCCAATCCCTCTATAATGTGCAAGATAGTACATTAGGCGTATTACAGTTCTCTCCCAGCTGTTAAGATACGGTTATCAAGTAGCTAAAATCAAATACTCATTCTGCAAGCAGCTGAGGATAGAGGCATCCTCACCCCTTTGAAGGACTTCAGATCTAGAGAGGAAGAAATGCGAATAGGTTTTTATGCTAGATGGACATGTGACCACTTAACCAATTTTTAATTGAAGAAGAAATTGGCAGACCTCCTTATGCACAGAGAATACAGTAGTGGAAAGACCAAGGACTGTAGCTTGAAATTGAACATCTGCCACATATTAGTGAAATAATTGTTGATAGGTCATTATCTTTGTTAGGAGATCTTTACCTATAGGGTGGAGGTTACTGTGTTGTTTTAAATAACTAGCATATTAAGATCCAGAGAGGTTGTGACGGATTTGTTGTTTTAAAAAGTTGGACGGGTAACACAGTTTTAGTTATTATATTTTATGAAAAGATAAATTATATAAAAATAGTAACTTACGGAAACATAGCTGGCATTAATATAATCTGATCCTGGAACACTAGCGTCAGCTATCAGCTTCACTCTGTTGTTATTATCTAGAAGAAAA